CGGGCAGACCTCTGCCCCCTCCCCGGCCATCCCCTGCACGCTGCAGGGGAAAAGTTGCGTCACCAAACCGCTCTCAGAGCATCCCTTCCCTTCTCCCCCCGGTTATTTTCCTTTCCTATCCCTCATTTCAGAGACCGGGGGGGGGTTCCCCCTCTCCTCTCTCCCTGGGGTTGGGGCAGCCCCGGCCCCACGCACCCCACCATCAGCCTGGCCGGGGCTTTCCTCCCCACCCTGCCCCGCTTCCATTTTGTAGGTGACCGCTCCAGCGAGCGGAGGGGCTGTGGTTTGCAGCGTGCCAGGGGGGATGGAGGGGCTTGGGGTGCCGGCCATGGCCAGGGGCACATGCAAGACCTCCAAGGACTTTTTGGGGTGCTGCAAGAGGAGGTGTGAGGGATGGGGACGAGGCCCCACATTGGAATGGGGGCACGGGATGCGATTCCCAAACTTTCAATCCGTCCTGACGGATTTGTTAGCCATCCCAGAGGATGCCCAGGGTGTTTCCATCCCTCTCCATCCCTGTGTGGACCGCAGGGCTGCACCGAACCCCGAAAGGCTCAGCCATAGCAGCAGCGCTCAGGGCTACAGCCCGCTGGTGTTTGAGTGCTGGGTGGAGTCCTGCTGATAACATCGGTCCGGAGGGTGAAAACCAGAAAGAAAATCTGGTTGAGCAAGAACCATCTCCAGCTGCAGCAGCCGGCATGGCCTCCAGCGGCTCCTCTCCTGCTGGAAGGAAATTTCCAGCCCTGCACGGAGAGGAGCAGGGATGCTGCACACCATCTCCTCCAGCCCCTCTCCTGAAACCTTGGCAAGCTGTCTCTGCAAACCCTGGTGCAATGGGACGGTATCATTTGGGACGCTCGTTTAGCCAATTCCTGCTTGCTGGGAGGTAAAGACAGGGAGACAACCGCCTGCCCGGCATCATGAGCCGGAGGTGCTGGTGATGCTCATGGGCAGCCTTGCTCCGGGTTCTGGCTGCTGGCCCGGCAGCGGCGTGGGTTTTCCAGCACGTGGGAAATTTGGGAGCCTCGAAACATGCTTTGTTTTGGGGGATTTGAACAAAAATGGGCTGGTTGGTGACGCTCGCAGACTGCTTCTGGAGATGGTGTGTCTCTAGATCGCCCTTTGTCTTGCTTCCACTCCAGGCGAAACCTTTTCTTAGTTTCTTATAAATCTTTCCTTATTTGCATCTTTGCGTCTTTCTGTGCCCCACTGGCAGAAAGCAACCGCTGCCAGGCTGGGCGCCGTCGTTGGTTATGTTTTCAAGAAATCGCTAAGGGCAGCTGCCAAACAGCACGGCTTGGGGTGGCTTATCATCTTCTCTGGATCCTGTTTGCTCTGTAACGTTTGAGACAGCCCTTTTTGTTTCGTTGTTTTGTTTTGTTTTAAAAAAATTTCCCCACGTGCCAGGAAAGAAAAGAAAAGAATGTGGAAAAATCCTCAATTTTTGCTTGTTTCTAAATGATTCTCTAAGGTTTCTATTTGGGAATATTCCCCTGTCCCTCTGCCAAACCCAAACCGTGCCTCGCCGCTGCGGCTGCAGGGAGATGATGCTGGGCAGGGCGTGGTCCCTGGGTGGGTGGGTGGCACCGTGGGGGTGGGCTGGGGCAGGGTTGGAGGTTGTTCACCTTCTCACCGTCCCTCGTGCTCGGCCAGGTGCTGTCTCACAACCTGTACACGGTGCTGTGCATCCCGCACGATCCCGTGGCGCTGGAAGAGCATTTCCGCGATGATGACGACGGGCCGGTGTCCAGCCAGGGTTACATGCCGTACCTCAACAAGTACATCCTGGACAAGGTGAGCCCCTTGGCCATCCCACCCTGACCTCGCGTGGGGACACCGAGGTCTGCTCCCGCATCCCATGGGAGCCCCACGGCTCCGCTCCCTTCCGCTCTTGGAGATCCCATACCTTGACGGGTGGAAAAAGGATACAGAGAGTTGGGGAGCACTCAGGTGAATGCCAAAATGAGTGAGAAATGTTTAATACTCAGCGTCTCCTTGGCAAGGATGAAGTCAGCCCTTTCCATCAAGGCTCTGGGTGGAGGTGCATCTCTGCCCACATTTCCGAAAGGGCTCAGAGAGAGAAATCAGCCTCTTTTTCCTCTCCGCTCCTGTTCAAATTTGAGGTGTGACCTCATTTGGCAAAGAGGAGGAGAGGGAGGAGGACGAGGTGCCGGGGCAGGAGCAGAGGTTGGGGTGGGCAGGGGCTTTCTCCCTTTTTTCCGCGCGGCTCAAAGGCACCTTTGTTTGGCACAGCGAGACTTTGCGGCTGGGTGCTCGTTTCCTCCAGGCATGTGAGGAGAGGAAAAATGACTGACAACTTTCTTCCACTGTGCGCTCGAAAGAAGCGGGGGCCCGGAGCTGGGTGCAGTAACCCTTCCCTCCCCTGCCGCTTCCCCAGGGCCGAGCCGTGCCTCTCCCCGGCGTGCGGTGCTCCGTCCCGGTCTCCGTGCCGGTCTTTGCCTTGCCCTGAGCTGCTCGGGAGCTGCCCAGCCTGGTCCAGGGATGCTGATCTCTGCTGCAGGGATCTGGGCTGCAGCGAGCGAGGGCAGAGCCTTCCCCAGCTCCCTCTGCCCGGGGCAGGCAGCTGCCCAAGGGCAGCCCAGCCCAATCTCCCCATCACAGAGCAGCCAAAATCCTTCCAGTTTCCCATGTGGTTCTTTGGGAGATGACCTTTAAACCCTCTTCTTCTGGTTTCACCATGGCTAATAAAATCCCAGAGGCTGCCTGAGAAGGGGAAGTGGGTTTTCCTAGTAAGAGGGGCTTTCAGCTTTCCGCCACCCAAAGGTTTTTCTCTGCCTCTGCCACTGCAGACTGCGGTTTGCCCTCATGCCGGCGGCGCGCAGCTCATGCAGCTGGGATGGGGCAGCCAGATGTGGCCAGGCTCCTTTGGTCCCCATCACACCATTTGGTGCCGCACCAAAACTGCCGCGTGAAGCGGCTCGCGATGCCGCAGGCGGTGGCAGAAGCGCGTGGACAGGCAGCGGGGCTGAGGTTGCTGGATGCATCGTTCCTGCCCCCGCTGCTGCCTGCCCGTGGGCCACCACTTCCCTTTGCTGAGCCTCAGCTCCTCTTTATGAGAAAATGGGATAACGAGAGCAACCCGAAGCCATGGAGGCACTGGGGAGGTGGGCTTGGGAGAGCACCACACAACGCTGCATGTCCTTCACCACGGGGTTTCTGCTGGTGCTCCAAAGCCCGGCAGGTCAGGGCTGAGCCACCGTGGCTGTGCCACCTTGCCCAGGTGCTGCAGCGGTCCCGTAGCGTCTTCTCTACGATCCGGCACATCTTGCCTGCGTAAGGGGACCTGTGCTGGGAACACGTACTGGCATCGTGGGTCAGTCCCCACTTACACTCTAGATGTGGATCCCACGTATAAATCAGCCCGTGCTTCTCACCGGCAGGGACAGGAGATTTCAGGTGTGAGGGTTCCTGCCCTCCAGCGCTTCCCCCCAGAACCCCCCTCCGTGGCCCTGCAGCACCACGCTCACCCGCCTGGCTCCTGCCCGCAGGTGGAGGAAGGTGCTTTTGTCAAAGAAAACTTTGATGAGCTCTGCTGGACCCTGACCGCAAAGAAGAATTACAAGCCCGACCGGAACGGGAATAGCGTTGTATCCCACCAAGATGCCTTCAAGCTCTGGTGTCTCTTCAACTTTCTGTCTGAAGACAAATACCCTCTCGTCATGGTGCCAGATGAGGTAGGACCTGCCTCTCCCCCCCCATCCCCACCCTCCCAGGGCTCTGCATGCTGGCAGAGCCCCATTTGGGGATGACGCATCCCGCTATCGCTTCCTGGCATGTCCCACCACATCCTGAAAGACGTGTGAGAGAGAGCAGGCCAGGGGTGGGAGGAGGGGGCTTGTCTGCCCTGGGCACCCCCCGCTATGCCCATGGCCACCCCTGCTGCCCAGGGAGAGGGGGGTGACCTGGGAGGACACCTCCAAAATGCCGAAGCCTCTCAAGTATAGATGTCTTGAAGGATGAGGTGTGGGCTGGTCCATAGTGCTCTTCTGTGGCCCAAGCCTAAACCAGCAAGCTCTTTTGTCTGCTCTAAAATGAATGTGCCAGTTCCAAGCAAGGAGCATCCGCAGCTCAGCTCTTGCTGGGGCTGGTCCCTTGCCTAAAGCCCTTCCATGTCACCCAAAGGTTGAGTTGAGCACGGTGTTGGAGGACTCCTCCTGATTTTCATGGGGGAGAAAGAGAAGATGACAAGAAACCCTTAAAGTCTGGTGCAACGGGAGGTTGCTCCCCATGAAATCGCTGTCAGGCTGGATGGGGCTGTGTCTCTCGGGCTGCTCTCAGCCCGTGCCACCATGAAGGCAGTGGCAGAGCAGACCCACTTGTCCCTCTCCATGCCCACTGCCACCAGACGCTCAGCCCCTGCCCGGCGTCTGGAGAGTTAAGAACCAGATT